GTGAAGCATCTTAATGATCTTGTGGAGAGTCCAGACTGCAGCCTGCAGACTCTGAGGTCAGTAGAAGGTTCCAGTCAGTCTCTGCTGCTTTCAGCAGTTTTCTATCAACACAGTCAGTATCACAGCAAAGATCCAGTGTCTCCTGTAAACATGCAGCTGTGAGAGCAGAACGGTGACAGAATTCTGATGGGACAGAAACACAGAGGCAGCAGTCGGCCAATCAGATGAGCTACAAGCTTGTTGTCATGGTGTGTTTGAGTCCATGTGAAGCCAACTGTTGTTGTGTTGATGTGTCGAGGAACTAAAGCTGCCTCCAGCTGACAGCCTTCCAGATGTGCAGAGACAGATGTCCTCCTCCATCACAGTGTCCATCAGATCTGATCTACTGTTTGTTGTCTCCTCTCAGCAGCGATCAGCTGATCAGTCTGATGTTGGTCACAGCTCTGAGATCAGTGTGACTGAAGCTGCAAACCTCTGATTTCACAGCAACATCATGACATTTAGTCATTCTCTCAACATTTCCTGCTGTTTTACACACATTAGATCATTTTGTTCAGTTGCAGATAATATGAAGTAAACCCAGAGAAACAAATGTGAATTTAAACGTGTGCTGTTAAAGAACAGAATAAAACTGTCAATAATGACACTGGTACAACAATGGAGTTTAACTATACATATATATATATAAATCAGCAATAATGATCAATATTTACCAGATGTGTGCTGTTATTTGAAGGAACAATTCTGTATATCAGGGATTAAAATGGTAAACAGTTTCAGTGTTTAACAGATGTTTGATCATTGTGTTAAACTACAGACAGAATCCAGTAAAATCACAGAACAACATGTTCAATTCACACGAACCATCAAAAACAGGCCGACACTGTCAATAATGTCACATCAATCATCTGCATTCTGACAAATATTCACCTGATCTTTTACAACATTTGAACTTAAAATTGGTGTTGAACTGAATGTAAATCTGCTCAAATATGTGTATCTGACAGAAAGCTGCTGCTCCACTCTGTCTGGATGTTCCAGGTTGTGAACTTTCCAGAAGCATGTGAACACATCTTGTGGCCCTTTGCTGCCAGACTTTCCTGTTGTTTCACAGCATTGACTTGATGTTTGTAGAGCAGATGAGATGCTGATGGACTCTCACAGACTGTTGGTTTCAGTGGAGCAGCAGGAAGTGATGAGTGAAGAGTTTGTGCAGTGATGAAGCTGGATGACTGTCAGCAGCTTGTTTCCACTGTGGACTGCAGTGAGATGTGCAGAGAAACACACCTGATGCTGACAGTGTGTGCAGGTGTGTGAGCCTGGAGCTCAGTGTGTTCACTCCAACACGTTGACATGAAGCTGCTGCTCTGAACAGGACTCAAGTCCTGCTGCTCTTCATCCCGATGAGCTGCAGCACTGACTGGCAGCTGATGAAGAGTCTCTGCAAACACTCACTCATCTCCTCTGCTCATTCTTCTTCTCTCTGCAGATGGAAGTTATGCTGATCAGGAGGGTGTTTGTGCTGAGAGGATGAACTGTGTCCTGATGATCCAGAGGCTGGACCAGACTCTGACTGGGCCGTGTTACTGGGAGGAACTGTGTTCTGCTGGATGTGACAGAGCATCATCAGTGTCTGTGGACTGCTCTGCTGCTGCTCTGTCCTGCTACAGTCTCTGCAGACTCCCTGAGACTCCTCCACTCCTTCTGCTCCACACTCCTCCTCCACCTCCACCTGATCTGCTCTCTCTGATTCCACCACAGGTTCTGAACCGTGCGGCTGCAGATCAGTCCTGTTCATCACAACGTCCTGTGAGTTCACAGTGAAAGTTCTGCAGGTTGAACTGGTGCAAAGTTCCTGTACTGCTTAACGCTTCAGCGCCACCCTGTGGAATGACGGTGCACTGCAGCTAATTTTGTTTCTAACATAACATTTCTAAACGATGTCCTGAGCTGAGATGAAAGAGCTCCATCCAGCCTCCTCTGGTCCAGACCTGTGATGTATGAGAAAACAAAACATGAACACACAGTCACATCATGATCATATGTCCTGTTGCCTTTTTTCATCTGTGTGACATTGACAATAAGTCAAATATTGTTTTTCATCAACTATGATCTCACAAAACATCCACAAGTCACTAATATTGTAGAAAGTAAATATGAACACATCCAGTATGGATCTGGTTGAAGCATCAGTCTAGTACAACAACAAAAAATCTAAAGCAAACTGTGTTAATACACAAGAAATGTATTTTGAATAAAAAATCAGTCGGACACGTTACACTTACAGCTAAGTGTTGGAGTGGGTTGCATAATGTTGGTGGAATATGTTCATTTCAAAGGTGAGCAAAAACTCATCTAATAAAAAAAGGAAAAGTATACTCCACAAACAATGTTTTATACCTGTGACTGAGCAATTTTCTCAATGACTTCTAAGCATGCATTTCCTATCTGCAAAGAAACAAACAAAAACAATTAAACTTGGCGGTGACGTACAGACATAATGAGCTCAAAATGATATGGTATCAAACGTAAACTTACCACTGATTCCATTTCGTTGTTCAATCCAAGCCCCCCGGAAGTCAGCACGGGTCAGGCAACTTGTTCCTGTTTTTACAATGAGCTCAGAGCCTCGGCTGTCAGAGTCCAAAACATATTTAGGTTGATTGTAGGAGGGAGAGGAGCTTTTTCACATGGAACATCACAGTCATAACAATTCTGATATTTACATTTTTTTACATAGGAACAGGGGTGGTTGGGCTTCAAGATGAGAAACACACATCTCTGAAATATCACACAGCTCTTTATTCCCCACTAAGAACACATACCAGCTGCTGTTGGGCAGGATGAAGCTTTAGGGTCCATGATGCTCAGCATGGTCTGATTCTCCATTTCTGTGATTGTTTCACAATGTGGTCCACTAGACATATCCATACATATCCAATAGACACCAATGCCTGTGGTGTCTATTAAAGGGAGTTAAAATATAAAATATTGCCAAAACTATTTTATGGTGACTTCTCAAGCCTACCACTACCTCCCTGTGTTTGGGTTAGTGGGGAGCCCTTGTTGCTGCACAGGTGTTGCAGCTACTGCAGGATGATGCTGTGTAGACACATCAGGGCTCCGTTTCACGAAGCAGCTTCAACGAACTCTGAGTCTGATCCTGAACTCTGAGCTGATCTACTCTGAGACAGGAAACTCTGAGTTTCCGGTTCCAGAACAGCGGATGTGAGTTCGTTTGATCAACTGGGAGTAGCTTCACCTGGAGTTCAGCGCGTGCACCACACCTATAGAAAGCCAGCATCAATGGAGCCCCGAGTCGACGAGTCACCATGGCAACGGGGAGGCAGAGGGCTGCGTGTTCTCCCACTAGAACTGGAAATCTGAATGCGCTCATATTGCGAGTTTGAATGCGTTTTTAAAAAGAAGTGCTCCCTCCTCCTCCTCATCCCTCGTCGTCACCTCCTCCGACTTTTTCCTCTTCAGAGGAGGACTTTGTTAAGCCGGGCCCATACTGCCTGTCCTGGAGACACAGAATAAATACAAGTGAGGGAGACATCTATAGTGTTTACAATAAATTGGTCTCAACAGGCAGCGTTTCAATTAACACTTACTAACCGATTCTCTCCGATGCATCGGTCCTAGAAATGGAGTCGGACCTGAGGGTACAGCTGCTGTCTCTCTCTCCATCTCTGCAGGGCGTGTGGAGACACCGGGGCGGAGTCCGGACCTTCAGCTTGACCCTCAGACAAAACCGTTTTCAACTGGACAAAAAGAGGTGGTGGGGAACCAAATGATGAGAATGAGGTCACTGAAGCATAACCATGCTGACCCCACAGGCAAGACGATCTCCTCTGACCCCACCAAAACAAATACCTGCAAGGAACTCAAGTCTTTGGCCTCCCTGGTGTCTTCCTGCTCCTCCTCCTCCACATATAGACCTGGCAACTTGGTAGCTGGTAGGGACAGAATGCAGGGTCATAACCAGCAGGCAAAGACAGCACTCCCCCCCCATCCAGCACAAAGCCAGACCAGACAGGAAGCTGGTCGACCGGAGTCATAATGGCCAAAAAGAAATATGGTTTCTGAGCGACTGGAACTTCAACCGTACACCACCGTATTACTGCCAAACCATCCAGATCGACAGCTGTCCAGGAGCGTCCTTCTACCATTTCTGGAAGGTTTTGGAGAAAACTCCGGCTCATCCACATGTCCAGGTGGTGGTGCTGTCGGTGGGGTTGAACAACAAAGATCAGGACTCACATAAAATATCAATAAAACAATTACGAGCGGTGTACAGGAGGGTCCAGTCTGTCTTCCCCAACGCTGCTTTCCACTCCTTAACTTCTCACCTCTCCTCCCACAGGAACAACAGGGTACTTTAACTCTCATTAACACGTTCATTTCCAGCCGTCTCCCCTCCTTGACACCAGTCTCTTCTCCACCAGCTCGGACAATATTCATTGGACCCACGGTACAGCTCAACACATGTTTAAACACTGGTGTGACAGTTTACAAGTGAACATTTAACTTCACAGTGTAGCTTGGAAACCAGGTTGAGAGGCACGAGGGTGTGGGGGGCTGTTATTACCTTTTAGGCTCTGGATCATGTCGAACCGCGGTGGCTGGTACCGGTTCCCCTCACTACAGTGGACCTCCCCTGGTGTTCAACCTCCAACATTTAATCTGTCCACTTTTACACCCACTGGAATAAATCAATGACTTTTATCCAACACATGCACAACAGGTACAGGTGCAGCTGTGGAGCACCTTCACGCTCTTGATGGGAAGTTTGGCTCTTTTCAAAGAGTCAGCTCTTGTGGCACGGCTCCCAAAGCAGAACTGGCTCTTTCGGCTCCCAAATGGCTCTTAATTTATTATCATCTGTAGCCTCATATTTTAGCCTAACTTGGCAAATATGAACGCTTTGAACCCTTTTGAATTTAGTGTTTTTATGAGAAGCCTTATAACGGCCTAATTTTGTGTATTTTTATGTTACAAAAGCAGGCATTCTTACTTTTGTTTCATATTTTAATCAAACTTTTTAAAATATATTTATTTGGCTTTTGCCTTTATTTAGAGCAGTAGAGGGAGACAGGAAAGGGGGGAGAAGAATGGGGACAGACCTGCAGCAAAGGGTCGTGAGCGGGATTCGAACTCACGACCGCTGCATCGGGGAACTACAGCCCCTGTTCATGGGCCGCCCGCTCAACCAGGTGAGCTATAGGGGGCCCATTAATCAAACTTTTAATCTTAATATGAAAACAAATGAGAAAAAAAAACCCCAAAACGCTGCAAACAAACTCACAGAACAGAATCAGAACAAAACTACAGTCTTTAAGTGAAAAGCAGGGTTCACCTGGACACGTGTGAGCGGTCCATCGCAGGGCAAACACTGAGACACACACTGACAGCAGGCAGATTTCACAAGGTGGTTCTGAGCTCATGTGTGAGGCAGCCGGCTCCGCTCAGCCCACTCCTGCAATGCTGCAGCTTCCTCTTGTGTGCTGCTCAGGTGAGGACTGAGGCTTGAATGGAGTCGGAGCTCCCTCTTGTGGACAAACGGCGCAACGACAGCATTGTGCGGGGCTGTTAGACTTAACAGCATTTCCCGTTTTTTGAGAAAACAAGCAGATGGTGAGCAAAATGTAATGATGTGTTCGTTGTGCCGTTATGAAGATTTCCTGAAGATTTGGTGCAAATGGGCTGAAACGTTTTTGAGTTATGTTGCCAATAAGAAAGCAATAGACAAAGAGATAAAGGGCGTAAACTCCTCGGCGGAGGTAATTAAGCCGAGAGAGGGCAGGTTGTGGAAGGAAGCAAGCTGCCCCCAGGCCAGTTTCCAAAGCAGAAGGTTTTGAAAGTGATGGCGGGGATCGAAGCCTGAACCTAGGATTTGGAGGACAAGCCGCTCTAGCAGCTGAGGTAGTGAACGAAAATATGTATTCACAAAAATGTAAAATACAACACAAAAACTCAGCAGATCTATAAAACCTCTTTTCAGGTCGCTGGACAGAAAAAATCCATGCAAACAAAAATCACAGCAAAGCTGGAGAACAAAGCTTCAAATACAAGGACAAGAACTGAGGAGCATTGAGCTTGGAGCTCTGGATGGTGAAGATGGCACAGAAACGGTGCAGGAACATGACCCACTGGCACAGGACGAAGGGAGACTCACACATTAAATACACAGGTGAGCTAATGGGGAGCAGCTGGACACAATTAGGGCGGAGCCACGAATCCGGAAGACAAAATGACAACACGAAGTAGAGCTAGCAAAAATCACATGAAGACGAGACTACAAAATAAAAGCTGCCAACAGAAACAGGAAGAGGAGACAAAAATAAAAGTTTAACTTGACCCCAGAGTGAACCATGACACCGTGTCGGTCCTGCTGACCCCCGTGTGGCTCCTGCTGCTGACCCCACACAGGTGGATCATCTGGTTGATAGAACTGCAGCTTTACTGCGCTCATCAACTGATGCTGTTGCCTCATTGAAAAAGAAGCCTATAAATTATAATAAAATAGCTCCGTGGTCTAGTCAACAGCTGTGCATCGTAAAACAGAAAGCAAGAAGGTTAGAAAGACAGTGGTGCTCTACAAAGTCAGAAGAATCTCATCTAGCCTGGAAAGACAGTCTCCTCGCCTATAGAAAGCGATCTGCAGGACAAGAACTGCCTACTATTCATACTTAATTGAAGAAAACAAGAAAAAGCCCAGGGTTCTGTTCAGCACTGAAGCCAGGCTGACAAATGATTTTTATGGATTCCCCCATCGGGGGAAATGTACACACCACAGCAGCATCCTTTTTCATCCCTGAAAAAGAAAACAGATTGTGTAACTTTGCAGTGCAAAGCGAATGATGACCATGTGTTCATGTGTGGTGAACATCAGCCAGTGATGCTGATGCTGTTCAGTCTCGCTGCAGTTGGGAGGAAGGACCTGCGATGTCTCAGTCTGCTGCTGAAGCAGACAGGAAGCAGAGCCGCCCACCCAGGAAGAGGAGGAGGAGGGTGAAGAGGACGTTTGGTCTGGTCCATGTTCAGCCTAATCTTGAGTAACTTCACATATTTTTTCTTTATTTCTTTTATTGACATGTTTACGCTCAGTCCTTCTTTTACAGTATTGACCATAAAATGATGTTTTTCTGTTTTTATATCAGATAAATAAAGTCAGGATATGAAGCACTGAAAAGGATTTCCCCTGTTTTTGGCAAATTACAGATTATGTCTAATACAAGACAAAACAATACAAAAAACAAACCAACAAAATAACAGCCAGAACTGTCCTTAGCGTCCACGTCACAAACATGTGTTTCTACAAACAGTTCTTGGTTCTTTTACAGCTGCTGGCCCTAAAATAGCAACGTGACTGTATTCAAATGAGTTCAGACTATCAGCGTGGAACAACTTAAGTCTGGAGCGTCACAGTTCTGTTGCGTCTCCGACCAGCTCAACCCAGAACCGAGCTTTGAACTGCAGCCTCAGAGCTAAAACATCACTTCTTCTATTTCTGGTTTGTTTTGTAGGAAGTTCAGTGGAGCGTGAACCTGCTCACAAACTACAGGTCAGCCAAACACAGCTGACACAAAACATGAGAACAAACTTACTGTTTCCCTTTCTTCTTCTTGTTCGTCTTCTTGTTCTTCACCGCTTTCCCTTTCCCCGCTGCCTCCTCTTCTTCTTTTCCTGCGGCAGCTTTCATTCTCTTCTTTCCCAGCGGCGTCTTGGCGTACCAGTTCTGGAGACACACAGGGGACACATAGCACACATCATCTTGAAATTACGATGACAAGAAAGTAATCAAGTCACGAAAATGTCATGAACACTGAAAGAGGAACTGAACAGCCGCTGAAAGTCTTGTTCGCTGGTTTCACACGCCTGCAGTGTCGTCCAGGTGAGCTCATGACATCACTGCAGACGTGGATACAAGTGCAACACAATACTTCAGCCTGCAGCCATCCAAGATGAAACATGAAAACATCCACCAGTTCCTCCAGAACCTCCTCAGAACATCTGGTTCTGGATCTGCAGTACCTCTATCTACTGACCAGAGTTCTACCTTCAGACTGTGAATATTCCACAGTTCCAGGTCCTTGAAGTCCACAGAGGAGGGTCCAGATTTATCACTTTAATGGACTTTTTCCATCATTTCTGAGCCTCAGAACTTCATCAGTACAGCAGATAGACACGTGACATTTAGGAGAAAGAACACATCTGGGTTCTGGTAGAACCTGACACCAGATCAGTTCTACATCCATCCAGGTGTCTCAGTCTGAACACTGACAAGTTTGAGCAGATGAAAGGTCTCATTTGGACCCGAGCTCTTCTCAGGCTGAGCTGATTTTATACAGAATAAGCCCCATGTTTGAACTTTGTACCAGAGAGCAACCTCCTGGTCCTCAGTCTGCTGTTAAGTTCCTCTTTAAACGACCAACACCGGTACCTTCAGGGCTTCTTCCTCTTCCTGGAACACTGGGTCAGTCTTGGCTAATGGAGGAATGAACTCAGCAGCAGTCAGCGGACGGTCGGGTTGCACCAGAATGCGCCACTTGGTGACGACACTGTGGATCGCCTTCACCATGTGACCTGGAGTGTAGCCGTCGGTGATCTTCGCCAGAGAGCTGAGGTCCAAGGCCTTGGTCACCTCACCGCCCTGCTTCTTGATCAGCTGCTTCCACAAGACTGAAAGGAAACAGAGGCAAAGGTCACTGAATAAAAAAGCCAGAAGGATCCAAACTGAGCTGGGCTGGACAGCGTGACTCTGGTGTTCTGACTGTATCTGGAGCCGTAGTCCGGTCTGGGGATCAGGATGATTTTGCTGTACATTTTGCACAGCGACTTCATATCGGTGCTGAGCGGGTCTTTAGTTGTTCCCATTATCAGAACACGATCCTCTGCTTTGATCAGTTTGAGAGACTTCAGCAAATCTTTCTGCAGTCGCTTCGGATCCAGCTGTTGAGACACATGAAGCAGTTCAAACGCCCACGTGGATCAATAAAAACACGATAATGCTGCTGTGCCTTCGTTTCACTCAGCAATACCTCTTTTTCTTCCTTGGGAACCTTCTTGTAGAACATTTTCTCTGCGTCGTCGATCCATATCACCGAAGGCTGCAGCAGTCTTGCAACCTGAAAATGGTTTGAAGAACGACATTTTGACGTTCTGGTCAGGTGGGATGTAAATGTCACACTTAGAGACAAGCAGCACACTCACATTCACACCTATGGACAATTTAGAATCACCAATTAACCTCAGCATGTTTCTGGACTGTGGGAGGAAGCCGGAGAACCCGGAGAGAACCCACGCTGCACGGGGAGAACATGGATACTCCATGCAGTTGTTGCTTGACTACTGTAGGTGGAAACGACCACGTCAGAGTAAAACGTGAGTCCCACATTGTTTTATTCTGACATGTTTCATCACCAAAGTCAGACCACTGCTGAAACTGCAAAGGCCCTGAGAGCCAAAGCAGAGCTCAAAGAGCAGAGAAAAGCAACGACATGAAGAAAACATGAGCAGAATGAGAAAAATCCTGAGTTATAATTACACCACATAATAAGCAAAATGATCTGGGAACAGAAAAGGAACATTTCACCCACAATATGTTTTATCTGGATGAAAATAAAGCAGTTTCCTGAAAGTCCCACTTGGACACGACATCTCTACTCGTGTTTGCTGACTGAGGACTGAGTCAGGAAGGACACGACCAACATCAGACTGCTGGAGGTCACGGTGAACATGAACATGTCACATCTGTGGCAGGACAACAAAGCATACTAAGCCGCCTGTTCATTAAAGGACCGATAACTGATGCACTGTCTTGGTTCTGTTTGGGTTCTGTCTGTGGGAACACATGTCTGCTGTGTTCTGATGTCACACTGACAGTACCAGGACTTTCCTTTGCTCATTATCTGATCTCCATATGCGAGGGACGTAACAGATGCTTGATCATCAGCAAGGCAGTGTTCTACTGTGTAGGTCTGTTGGTTCTACTGAGCAGCAGGAAGCCACTCAGAACCAGTAATGAAATATCACCAACCAGTTCAAACATCTCCTGGGATGTCGTTTTCTGCAGTGCCAGCTTCTCTCACCTTGAACACCAGGTGCAGCATCATGGCCACGCCACTCTTTCCTGGATACTTTCCTGCTGTGTTCAGAGGCGACAGATCAAACATGGTGGATCCCGTCTCCTGACAAACTGCATGAACCAGCATCTTCTTCCCGACACCTGAAGGCCCGGCCAGCAGCATGGCCTTTATCAGAGGAGCCTTCTCGTGCACCAGCTGAGAGCCTGCAGATACAACTCTTTTTATTGTCAGAGCACAGACACTTTGAGTTCATTCTAAACATGAAGCGAGCATCGTTCATACCCAGCGGTAGCACTGCATACAGAGACAGGACTTGTCGCACATCTGCTAATGATGGCATCGGCTCGATGTCGTTCTGCCTCAGTGTGGTTCCAAGATAGCTGTAGTCACCTGGGAGCAGGAGGCAGCACCTGTTACACTCACAGCTATTGATCACAACGGTCAGTGACTGACAGCAGTTTAAAACATGGACTCAGGTGGCAGATTATCAGTTTCACCTACATGAGCTATCCTCAGAAGTTCTGCCATCTGTTTGTTAAAACTGCTGATTCCACTATAGGGTCCATTTGGAAAACACACTTTGCATTGTGCTGTGAGAGCACGGCATTATACTGGACAAAACAACGGAAACACCTGCTAGAAACCTGGTTCTCTGAGCATCTTCCAGCAAAATGCAGCTTCTTCTATCAAGGACAGAAACTCTTACAGAAGCAGGTACAGAAAGCAGGTCTGGAACACCCTATTTAATTCAGTCTTTTGTTGTGCAAACAGAGCAACATTTCAGCCCTACTGTGCCACCATCAGAGTCCAGCAGGACAAAGACGTGAGGCGAACTGATATATTCAACCTAAACCAGGTATACTATTAACAACACAGCCAAAGGTCTCCTCGGTGTTAAAACTGTAGATCCAATGTGTCTCTCTGGGACTTCAGGATGCCAGAAGGGAGGCTCTGTTCTGTCTGCCAGAACCTCAGTGATGCTGCACAGTCATGGCTTTCCTGCATATCATGTTGGCCACATAGCACAATCCATGTTTGTCTGTTTATACTAGACCAAAGCTACTCAACAGGCGGTCCCCGGGGATGCTTATTTTGTGGCCATGCCTGGTTATGAATGTGTAATTATTTTTGCAGAGGCCATAAGACAGAGAAAGAACAGGCGGGATGCGCAACACACAGCGTTACTCTGAAAACAAACCCTAAGTATTGTTATACAGATTCCGGGGTTCAACTCTCGCACTTTTGTCTCTGTATCACGAGAGGTCATGTGTCAAGGCAGCACAGTCTTTTGCACCTTAACTAATGATGGCAACAAAGAAAAGGAAAGTGGATGATGGAAACAGGGCTTTCAACCCTGCATGGGAGATGGACTTTGCTTTTGCGGAGATACATGAGAAACCGATGTGTCTCATCTGTCAAAAAACAATCACTGTGTCAAAGCGAGGGACTCTGCAACGGCACCACGAACAGTGTTACCCGTAGTTCAGAGATGCCTATCCACCTGACAGCGGTCCCAGGAGAAACAAACTCCAAACATTGCTAGGTGGGTTTTTCAGGTCCAGCAGTTCATGTTCCACAGCGTCGTTGAAAGCAGTGACAACATGCTTTCAACAACAACATGTTCATGTGTCGCCTGTGACCCTGATGAAGACGCCGCAGTACGTTTCCGTCAGTACCAGGGATCTCTGTGTGCATGTGGCATATGCTTCTCTTTACTGTATTGAACTGATCAAAACACAGCAGCGTTGAAACGTGAGTCTGTTTGCACAACAAAAGGCTTGAAACAGGCAGTGTGCTCCAGAACCCCCTCTCAGCACAATGCAGCTCAGTCCAGCAGTGGCCGAGCCTCCGAACAAGCATCAAATTGAATCCACATCTGTGGAAAACCAACTGTATGAATGTACAGCAGCACCACTGTGGCAGGACAGTGAGAGCATATGAGAGACAGGAAGAAATGCCATCAGTGTGTTGGCAGTCACAAGCCAAAGGATTTCTTCATAGCTCACTTGTTAGAAATCCTGTGTAATTAACAATCAGAAGAAAACGGTACAGTGAGGATGATGAGACTAAATGAGTTCTGCCAGATGCCACAGCGGTCGTAACAAACCATCTGCAGAGTCTTACCCAAGTAATGGTGCAGTCTGACATGGTGGGCCTGCTTCAGTAAACCCTGCTCCACCAGCTCCTGACACAGAGACTCCAGCGTCCTGGTCCATGTCAACAAATAATACAGTTACACTGACGGCCTTCATACAGCTCCATTCTGTCCTGAAACTCTGTGGATCCTCACCTGTCAGCTGTCAGATCGTTCTCTTTTTTCTTCTTCTTTCCACTCTTAGATGCTTTCTTCTTCTGTTGAGTAAATGAATATACTGAGGAAACTGCTCCAGTGAGTTCATGTAAACTGCCACCACTGTATTTACCTTTGCTTTTGCTTTTGCTTTAGCACCTTTGTCTTTATCCACAGACACCTTCCTTTCAGCCAGCTCTTGTCTCATCTGCTCATCCACCTGGTACAGACACAGCAGACTGCTCATGACAGCTACACGATATCAGTTTAAACAGCAGAGACGCTCAGTGGGCTTAAACATGCATTTAAAGTACATCAGCCTGTTTAAATGACAGCAGCAGCTTCATTCTCTGTTACAGTCACAAAAGTCTTCATAGTTTGTTTTTACACGATCAGAAACAAGCACGGGTGTCGTGTTTAAATAAATGTTCAGAATATGTTTTCCTCTAAACGCTGTGTTGTGCAGCCAACAGCACCTGCATCTGGATCTCTGCCTTCATGACTTTCCTCATCTCCTCCTTGACCAGCTCCACCTCGTGCCTCTGGCTGAAGTTTTCAGACTCATCGCGGGTTTGCCAAAAATCTGAGGATGACAAACGTTCAGTTTGAGTTTTATTCATTCATTCAGTGAGCAACTGGCCGCCCTTACAAGTTTTTCCCTTTTACTACCTGCCAACGTTAAGCACGGTCAACATCATCTGGCTTTACAGAAACAGACTCTTTCATGTCAAAGTGAAAACAGATTACAAAAGAGTGATGTCAGTTAGTTAGTTTTATATTTTTATTTAACCTTTATTTAACCAGGAAAAGGCTCATTGACATTAAAAATCTCTTTTTCAAGAGAGAGAGTTAAAAATATAAAACACAACATAAGCGACTGCATCAGTGTTCTCCTCCTCCAGTCAGTGTTCAGTAGATGAACCTTCAGCTCCATCACTGGTCCTGTTGGTCTCCATCAGTCTGAACATCTGGACGCCGCAGCTTCACCTTATTCTGATAAAACTGTTCAGACTCTGTCAGGTTCCACAGGGATCATTAGGGAACAGAACTGTTCAGGTCTACATTCTAATCCTCAGCTGGATGGAGGTCTGGACTCTGTTTGCTTCGGCTCATTGTCTTGATGGAAAACAAGTCTTCTCCACGTCTCAGTTCTCCTGCAGACTGCATCAGGTTGTCCTCCAGGATTTCTCTACACTTTGCTGCATTCATTCACCCTCTACCTTTACAAGCCTTCCAGGCTGCTGCTGAGAAGATCCCCACATCATGACGCTGCCACCGCCGTGCTTCACGTCATGATGCTGCCACCGCCGTGCTTCATCATGATGCTGCCACCGCCGTGCTTCACATCATGATGCTGCCACCGCCGTGCTTCACATCATGATGCTGCCACCACAGTGCTTCACAGTGGGGATGGAGTGTTTATCATGATGTCTGTGTTTGGTGTCCAACAAACATAACTCTATTCAGATGGTCAAAAAGCTCCATCTTGGTCTCCTCAGACCAAATAACCTTCCTCCAGGTGACTTCAGAGTCTCCACATGTCTTCTGGTGAACTCTCGTCCAGATTTAATTTGAGCTTTTTCCAACAGAGTCTTTCTCTTGGTCTTCCATAAAGCTTTGATGGTGAAGACAACAGTTGTTGTATGAACAGTCTCGGACACCTCAGCTGCTGAAGCTGTAACTCCTTCAGAGGAGCCATGACAGGTTTGCAGTGATACCATTTAAACAGCTGGTTTTGAACTAAATCTGAAATATGAATCCTTTTTAAAGCAAGATCAAGATTTTAACTTTTAACCTCTAGAAAGGCAACAAACAAACTGTAAACCACCAGGCATTGTGACCTTTTTCAATTTAAACATACCGACAAATGTTTTGTGTTGCTCCTGTAAATCTGACAGAAAAGCAGATGGCATCATTTTCAAGCCGGCCGCCTCCTCCTGAGGTTCAGAATAGAGTCATATTGGTTCAGTTTGTTCACTAGGTAAAACACTTTGATTACACTTTCAATTAATTCCATTTGTCCCATATTGTTGTTCATTTCAATGGTATGATATCAGCAGAATTCAACAAATTCTATATTTAATCAATAACTGAACATTTTATACAGCTCTTCTCTTACTTCCTTATCATCCTTTCCCTTGTCCTTCCCTTTCTCCTTCTTGTCCTCTTTCCATTTAGGTTTGTTGTTTGTTGTTTCTTCTTTTGCAGCAAGTTCTTCCATTAACTATAACAAATACACCAGACATTATTCTCTGTAACACGTTCGAAAAGTATGCAGCCAATAATGCTTTTCACTGAGGATGGATTTTACCTGCTGAGGACGTTTTTCAGCAAAAATAAGGGCCGAGCCTCCGTCCTCTTCGTCTGGGTAGTCTGGAAACACTCCTGTAGCATTGCTATATTTAAAACACACACACAAAGCAAAATAAAGCGACTTTATGTTAAATGTGTGGGAAAAAAAATCATAAAACTAAAGCACCTTACCGGCATTCAATGAACCACTGCCGAATTTGATCTTTCATGGTTTTGCTCATGTCGTGGCCCTCCATATCTCGTAGTTGCTTTGTGACATCCTCCATAGACTTCTGGTAAGCTTCCTCGTACTCTTCCTGTTTAGCTCGTGTGCAAGCTTCATTGGCCTGGGCAGTGATTTCTGCAGAGGTCGGCAACTGGTGTTTTGGATCCATAAGCTAGCATAAAAGTAAACCAAACGTTAGTGTGTCGGTTAAAAAGCTTCTGTTTGTTGCAGGTTCTCAGAAAGACAAGATAATCAAGGGCAGAGTTTAATGGGAAACAACATAGATCAAACTCCTTTATATGATACAGATATAAACTGCAGCTGCTCCTCCCAAACACAAAACCAGCTTAAAGTACGTCTGGTCTAAGTTACAGTGTCATCATGTCAAAGTGAAAACAGAATTCCACAAAGTAATGTCAATTAATTAAAAAAATGTAGAATTATGATTGTATCAACATTAACCTCTTTTAAAATGGCTCTAATTGAAGTGCAGCCCGTTGGTGCTAGAAGTCCCACAGTCAGTGAATGCATCATCTGAGGTCAGTGATTGTAGTATAAAGACTCCTGTATCTGGAAGGTCCAGTCACTGGTGGAACCTGACAGAGTCTGAACAGTTTTATCAGAATGAGGTGAAGCTGCAGCGTCCAGATGTTCAGACTGATGGAGACCAACAGGACCACTGATGCAATCACTGATTTTTCTTGTGTTTTTATATTTTACAGTAACTGGCATTACTTTGTACAAATCTATTGTCACTTTGACATGAAAGAGTCTTTTGGAGATTCTTGTCAAAAACACCAAACTCTATTGGCCATGATTCAATGATGGCTAAATGGTTTTTATTGGCACAGTGAGTGTGAGGAAGCTGAGGATCAAATATGCAGCTTTCAGGTTGATCCTATTGAAGGTCCTGCTGGCTTCGTAAAAACGTACCTGATGTAATTTTACAGACTAAGACAGTTCTCAAAATGGCTCATTTCACTCACCATTCCTAGAAAAATCATCTCCTCTTCTCGTTCAGCCTTCGTCCTCTTCCTCGCTATGTAGCCCCTCCACACCTACACATCACATTCAAACAAAACTCTGAGCACCAAAGATGACTGAAGCCAAAGAAAGATGCCTGTGATACCATGTTGGAAACAAAAGACCTTCTGAATGCAGATGGCAGCCAACTCGGTATCAGCTGGTCCGGGGGCTTTAGTCGTGTCCAGCAGTTCACTTCTCAATTCGGCGTTCAGCTTTGCCCTCAGGCGTCCTTGCCGAGCTCTCTCAGCCAGCTGGATGAGCCTAATGGCCTCCTCCGGACTCATTAGAGGCTTCAGGAACCACAAAAAGAGGAAGACAGAAGATAAGAGTTTGGAAATGAGCTACCGGGCCGCCCCACATGTTTTTGATCTAGTGTGACTTTGGAAATTTTGACAGTTCAACATCTTAGTTTTAAACATAACATATTGCATATATTGATTTTATTTTTTTTAAAGTCACGTCTTTAAGAAGATGTTTCAAAACTCAAACTAATTCAAACTAATGTATTAAATCTGAATCACTTTGTGAAATTAAACATTATGTGGTCTTCAAATTATTCACAAATGTAACATTTTCCCATTTAAATCCTGTCTGGGTTTCACTTTTAGCTCGTGAGAAAATAAAGTGCACAAATGAAGCTGGAACATCTTGTCTGCCTCACCTCAGGGCTTTCAGCCACCTCCACCAGGTCCAGGAGATCCGCCACCATCGTCTTTCGTTGTTGGACTTCTTTGCTGCGTTCACTGAGGAAATATCGAGGGATGGGGATCTCCAGCTCGGCCTACAGAGTAAACAGAGATGTCTGTGTCTTTATGTGGAGCAGCCCTGATAAAGTCACTGTCTGGTTCTGATTCTGATTCTGTGGCGGACGTCAGTGATGAACCTTACAGGAGAGAGCTTCAGGTCATGGAGGACGTCATCCATGTAGTGGTACTCTGAGAACTCCTTTTCCACCATCTCGTTCTTCAGCTCCAACACTCTCCCCACCACACTGTCCAGGACGCGCCGGATGAGCCGCCTCTTCTGAGGATGGACCATCAGGTCGTAGGCCTCCTGCAGCTGCCGGAGGGTTCGGACGTAGCGCACGTAGAGCGTGGCCAGACGCTGGAAGAACACGACGCGGTCCTTCTCTGGACGAAGAGGCTCAGCAGGAAGCTCCTCGGCCAGCAGGCGGCTCAGCTCCAGCTGAGCATCTGCCCACAGCTGGTTGAACATCCTGCAACAGGA